CAGTGACTGCCCTGCATTTCCTGTCTCTGCTTTGAAACGAAACTACATTATTTATAGATGTGTTCATTGTTTTCTAATCGCTGAGCCAGAGTATGTGATACGAAGTAATGGGGTGGGGGGGCATGACTGGCTCAGTCTGAGAGAAGAAAAGCTTGGTGGCAGCAGCGTGGGATGAACAGGTACATCTGGGCAGAGAGAGTTGAATGTTGGTACTCGGCTGGCTCAGCTCTTCCCCACTTGTATTCAGTCCGGGATCCCAGCCATGGGCTTCTGCTACTCACATTCAGTGTGGCTATCCCTCCTCTGCTAACCCCTCCTGGAAGCTCCTTCACAGGCACACCCAGAGGCATGTCTCCTGGGTGATTCTAAATCCCAGCAAGTTGACAGTGAGGATTATTAACTATCACATGAAGGAATTTCAAAAACATCACCTCCTTCAACCTAAAACGTAAGAAGTGACGAGGTAGTTTTCAATGGGTGATTTTTAGAAATAGTACAGGAAATACTGAAAACTTAAAAACTTATGTCACATCTATGGTATTCTTAAGGTACAAGGTCAGATAATTTACCTAAGGAAACACAGTTAGTAAATGGTAGAAGCAGTCAAAGCCCCGTCCAGGCTTGTTTGTGCTTTCAGCCGCTGCACAAAGGTGGTGAACTGTTCTGTGTGTCTAAGTACAAAGTGATTCTTAGGATCACTTCTGTAGCATGTGAAGAAGGCAGGCAGGGGAGATGGTGCAGTTGGTAAAGTGTTTGCCTTGTAATCAGAGGACCGAGTTCAGTCCCCAGCATCTACATAAAAAGCCGGATGTGGTGGTGTGCACCTATAAGCCCCATGCTGGGGAAGCAGAGACAGGAGGGTCCTCAGGGCTTGCTTCCAGCCAGTCAAGCAGAATTGGAGAGCTCCAGGCTCAGTACGAGGCCCAGGCTCAGAAAATAAGGTGGTGAATGACTGAGAAGATACCTGACATGCACCTCTGGCCTCCAAACACATGTAAACACACATGCGCGCACGCACACACACACACACACACAGTGTGTGTATGTAGAAACACTGATATAAAATAGTTATAGTACCCCTTCTGTCAAATTTTCTTAGAATAGGAAGCTTAAACAGATATACAATGACCCAGAAATAAAGAAAATACTAAAACTATGCTTTTAAAAAAATAATTCAGCATGGATGTGGTGGTGCACACCTTTAATCTCAGCACTGGGAGGTAGAGGCAGGTAGATCTCTGAGTTCAAGGCCATCCTGGTCTACATAGTGAGTTCCAGGCCAGCTGGGGCTACAGGGAAACCTTGTCTCAAAAAGTCCAAATATATATATATAATTCAGCAATTATTGGATTTTTACTATTGAAGGCCACTGTACTGACTTCTGGGATTAATAAAGATGAGTAAGATCCAGGACCTGCTTACAGTGGAGCTTAAAACAACAGTGGTCACAGAGCACACACTCGAAGTGTCAGGATTTTAAACTGACTGCAGATTCTTGCTTTTCCCAGAGGGAGTTTTAGAGACACCCTCGTGCACGGAGTTAGAGATGCCTTCCTGCACAGAGTTCCCTGTGAGAAGCTGTGCTGGTTCCATTTCCACTGTATCACTCAGGTGGAAACTGATGGAATCCTTGAGGACACGCATAGACTGTGTTAAGTGGCATTAATGTCTCTGAGTTTGTAGAAAGTCTAAGTTTCCATTCTAGCTCATATGAGTCATCACAAATGAGAGCCACTGAGCCGTTATTATCAAATTGCTGTGGCTTTCTTTTCCCTCTGCTGACTTTAAAGAATTCTGGCTAAATATTGTCCTGTGGAGATTAATTTTCTATCTTAATTTTGTAAGTCTGCATCTTCCCTTGGAGTCAAGGACCATTTATAAATTAAAGTCAGTGGAGACTTGTGGCATCCTTGGAGAAAGGGTTCTTCTAACCTTAAAATCGGTGGTCAGCCGGGCGTGGTAGCGCCTGCCTTTAATCCCAGCACTCGGGAGGCAGAGGCAGGCAGATCTCTCTGAGTACAAGGCCAGCCTGGTCTACATAGTGACTTCCAGGACAGCTGGGGCTACAGGGAGACCCTGTCTCAAAACGACCGAAAAAAAAAGAAAAAGAAAATGGACTCAGCCTAGATGTCCATCAATGCACAACGAAATATTGCTCAGCTATAAACGAGAATGAAATCATCAGGTCTGTAGGTAAATGGATGGAACTGGAAAATAAATTATAGCGAGTGAGGTAACTCAAGCCCCCAAAGACAAATACCAAATTTTCTCTCTCATATGCAGATCCTAGCTTAAATCATTTGTTTCATGTGTTTAATTTGGAACACAAGTAGAAGCCCCATATGATCCAGTTATACCATTCCTTGGTATGTACCCAAAGGAGTCATCCTGCCACAGAGATCATTGCTCAGCTGTTTGTTGCTTCTCTTTCCACAATAGCTAGAAAATGGAAATGTCTCTCAGCTGATGAATGAATAATGAAAATGTGGTACATTTACACAATGGAGTGCCTGGTCTACATAGTGACTTCCAGGACAGCTGGGGCTGCAGGGAGACCCTGTCTCAAAACGACCGAAAAAAAAAAAAAATCGGTGGTCAGTACCAGAATTTTAAAACAAGACGTACTCACTTTAAAAACATGTAGCTTCTGAAAAAGTGACTTCCAAGCATTTTTGTGACAGAACTTGAATTTGCAAAACCTAATGAACACCGCAGCATGATGCAGGACCTTCTCGAACTCTTGTTGACAGAATGAATCAATGAAAAAGCATTGTGAGTTATAAAGCAAATCTATTTATGTATTTATTTTAGTTTTTGAGACAGACTCTCACTATGTAGCCCTGGCTGATTTGAAACTTGCTGTGTTGATGAGACCAGCTTTGAATTCAGAGATCTGCCTGCCTCTGCCTCCAAAGTGCTGGGATTAAAGGCTTGCCAGGCCTGATGCAAATTTATTAAAACTTGCAACTTTAAAGCTGTAGCTGAGGGAGAGCCACTGCAGGACTCTACTGTTAAACACCTTGTCACCAAAGGCAGACACCTGCATGCAGAGGAGCCAGTTGTGGGTAACTAGACTGCAGTGTAGAGAGGAGGTAAGCAGACACCAGCTTAGGAAGTAGCCAGATGATCCATCCACAGTCGACAGTGATAGACGTACCAAGCTGAGTCCTTGACTTCCATGGCTTCTCAGTCCCAGGCCTGTGGTAGGAAACTCTTTCAGATGTAACTGACTGGTAACAAGCTGTCTTGAGTGCTGAAGAACTCAAACTTGTGGAGTCACTGTGAGTTTTCCCCTGGAACTACACCCCCATAGCTCCTGAGCCTGCAGTGGAGGGCTGGTATCAGGAAGGACTTTTGGCTGCCCATTTAGAACTCACAGTGCAAGTGTGTTGGATGGAGTCTCAGTGTGCAGAGGCCTTGGGCGTCTTGGGCGTGCAGAAGGTGTGGGTGGGGCCCGAGGATCTGTGTCCGTGGTAAGCCGCCAGGGGACCTTCATGCTGATGTGTGGATCACACTGAGAAGCAAGCTTGTGGGGACAGACTTCCGAGTAGTGAAAATGGGCAGTTATACATGGGTGTGGGGCTCACGCCTGTGCATCTCAGCACTCAGGAGGCTGAGCTAAGAGGACAGTCACAAGTTCAAGGCCAGCCAGGGGTACAGAGATCCTTGTCTCAAAAAATAATAGCAGTTATGCTACATCAGAGGAATGCTCAGGTGACTGTGCGAGGACAGCCTGAACTGCTTGGTTCTGTGGTCTGAATTTTTGCATTAGAAGAATGAACCTAAAGCAGGGCAGTGACAGCTATCACGGGGAGTTGTTGTGAGGACTGAATTAGCAATGCTACTGGGAATTTATGAGAATGTCCGGTACACAGTCATTACGGAGTTGAATCATAAATGTACAAGCCCTGTGTTGGTGCTTGGTGGAAAAAGTTCCCCTGGTGGACTAGGGCGAGACCCTTTAGGCTGAGTGTGCCTTCAGGCATCCTGTTCTTTAGATTATATTTTATTCTGACGTTTATAATAACTTGTATTTAACAAAAGATCAGTATTTGGCGCTGGAGAGATGGTCAGTGGTTAAGAGCACTGCTCCTGTTGCAGAGCACCTGGGTTCAGTTCCCAGTTCCCAACCACCTGTAACTCCAGCTTCAGGGGCTCTAGCACCTTCTTCTGGTACCCATAGACACCTGCACTCATGTGACACACACATAAATAAAAGTAAAATAAAATCTTAGAGAATATACTCAGTCCTGGGGTGCCATTAGAAATGGGAGCTCAAATCATCTCCAGGTTACTGTGAACCCCCTCTATAGTTCTTCTGAGGAACGACCCAAATTGGCTCCTCTGAGGGCCAGTGTTTCTTGTTAACAGACTTACACTGTTCAGGAAAACTCTCAAACCGTGCACAGCAGGTGTGTTAGTTACTTTCCTTCTTGCTATGACCAAATACTTGGCAAGCAATTTAAGAGATGAAGGAGAAGGATTTCTTTTGGCTCACAGTTAAAGGGATACAGTCCCTCTTGGTGGGAAAGGCATGGTGCAGGAGTGTGAGGTGGCTGGTCACATTGTGTCCATAGTCAGGAAACGGGGGATGGCAGGCAGTAAAGCTAGTTAATAAAACCTCAGCCCCCACCCCTCACTGTGACCTCCATCCTCCACTTAGACTTCAGGACCTCAAGGTTCCACAGCCTTCAAGAATTGTGACTGCCACCAGCTGGGACCAAGTGTTCAGATAATGAGCCTCTGGGGACATGTCACATTTGAACCACAGCAGCCGGAGATGGAGGGAAGTCAGTGACTAATCTTTGATACCTTTTCAAAATCTCTTTCCAGTGAGAATTCAGAAATGGAAATAGACTGTCAGACCCTGGCACAGTCTGATGTAACACATGTACAATAAAATCCAGAATGAACCACCTGGTCTTTACTAAAAGAAATGAGATTTTTAAAGTCTAATCAAAGTATTAATGAAAGATGTCCTCCCCTTGCCTCACCTGCAGGTCCCAGGAGAAAACGGAAGAAGCAATTGTGTTGTTGAAAGAATCCATTAAGTACGGTCCAGACTTCGCTGATGCCTACTCGAGCTTGGCTTCCCTACTGGCTGAGGAGGTAATTGTTTCCATTAATTTCACAAGCATTCCTTTAAACGTTCTTGTCAAGTATGTCAAGTAATGTCAACACAGACTTTTATAGAGAATTTAGCAAATAATTGGCAAGCTCCTGTTGGACGCTGGGTCTGCATGTCAGTTTGTTCTCTGTAGATGCGAGAAGCCTAGTTTTCCCATTCTGCTGCCACCTGTGTGATGTGAACTTCAGGAAAAGACAGAATATTGTTGACCTGTGATGTGCTCTATCAGTTTGGGACAGTCTGTCAATAATAATAGTATATAACAGTCACTGTTTTTTGGAAATCTTTTTTTTTTTTTTTTTTTTTGGTCTTTTTGAGACAGGGTCTCCCTGTAGCCCCAGCTGTCGTGGAGCTCACTATGTAGACCATGATGGCCTTGAACCCACAGAGATTCAATTGCCTCTGCCTCCCAAGTGCTGGATTTAAGGGAGTGTGCCACCATGCCCAGCTTGAAAATATTTTTAATAAAAGAATACTTAAAAAAATATATTAACCCCCAACCCTCGGTGTACACCCCAGTCTTTCCTTTCTTCCTCCATGCCCCGGGAGGCTCCCTTTCTGTTCAGAGTTTTATAGTTGGGGCTTTGATGTTTCTTCTAGCCACACACCAACTTGCTCCCACATTCACTGTTTTTATTGCTCTTTACTTGTGATATTTTCCTGGGAAGTCACCAATGGACTATAGTCTCGGAACTCAGCATGAAGCCAGCTACTGACAAACATGACACTCTCGTATCTTAATACCTGCTAGAAAATAACAGGCTGCAGGACGGCTCCTAGGATGCCCTCGCTGAGGTAGAACGGGCTGCAGGACGGCTCCTAGGACGCCCTCGCTGATGTAGAACGGGCTGCAGGGCGGCTCCTAGGACGCCCTCGCTGATGTAGAACGGGCTGCAGGGCGGCTCCTAGGACGCCCTTGCTGGCGTAGAATGGGTGTGTTTAGAATCCCTTCCCCCTTTCACTTCTCTGAATGACTTCAGACAGTTTCCCACCTTGTTCTGGGGAATGCAGATGTAAGTCGCCTTCTATAAACTGATGGTGGAGCTTGCTGCAATGACCTTGATAACTGGTGTATTCTGCTGTCACACAATTTCCAGGCTGCCGTTAAAATCAAACTCAACATCTCTGAAAGATGCCTAGCAGCTTTCAGTCAACTTACATGGAAGGAATGATTTGATTCCACACAGTTACGAAGATGTGATGTACATTTAAATATTTCAACATTCTGTAGGCTGGTGGTGGTGCTCACCTTTAATCCCAGCACTCGGGAGGCAGAGGCAGGCAAATCTCTGTGATATCGAAGCCAGCCTGGTCTACGTAGTGCAGGTCAGCTGGGATTACAGGGAGACTCTGTCTCAAAACAAAACAGAATAAAAAAAAATGTTTGAAAGTCCCAACAACTAGCAAAATTAGAACATTCTATGGATTTTAAGTGACAGAAATAATAAACTTAGTGCTCTGATGCAGTCATTCCCCAGTGTCTGGAAGAAAAGGCCCAGAAGCTTTCTCAGATGCCAAAATCTGTGGATGCTCAGGTCCCTCAAGAAAAATGCACATCTCCAAATGACTTACACTTAGCACAACGTAAATGTTGTACTGCATTGATTAGTGAACAAGGACAAGAAAGGCCTTTAGTGCAGATACAATATTTTCTGACTATTTTAACATTCTCTCTGAGGGGGACAGTTCACTGGTGCATTGTGTATGTGTGTTGTGGGTCCTCCTCAGGCCAGCTGTGAAGACCCTGACCTGGATCGGGTCCCCTGCCGATTAGGGGGGTAGGGGCAAGAGGCATGGAGTCAACACACAGACACTAAGAGTCAGATAGAAGCAAGCACTAGGTGAGGTGCTGCAGGCTCATTTAATGCAGGAGGGGGCAGGCCTTATATTTCCCTTTCTCCACCCCCAAGTCCCTTTAGTCAAAAAGCGTATCGTTTTCTACTTGGTCCGCGCTGCACAGTCTGTTTACGTCAGCAGTCACTAGGCTTGCCAGCAGGGTACAGAAGCACAGGCTCCTTTTCATGGGCTATTTACGGGCCAGGAAGTGAAGTGAACTCTCACTGAATCCCAGGGCTCTGGGTCCATGCCATCTTTGGAGGCCTCCTGCTACATTTCCACCCTTTTTCTTTTAAAAATGACTGTCTAGCGAGAGCCTGTAGGCAGCTCCACCTCGGGATGACCCCAGGATTATGGACTGTGCCTGTCTTAGGTTGTCCTATCCGGGCATGAACCTTACCCATCAGTGGAGCATGGGTGTACACATCCATGTCCTGGCTTAGGTTGATTCAGCCCGACAGGAGTTTACCATCATTGACTACCAGCTTTCCAAGGGGTATCATCCCAGGTGATCAGTCGAGGTAGGGAATTATCTGTAGGCAGCCTTGTACATCTGTGTGAGCCAAGTCTGTCGGGCTGCATAGGGCGGGTTGAAATCATTTTTGTGTATTGCTCTGAGGGCCTGATACACCGAGTGATTGAATTTTTTCTGACTGCGGGAACGAAGAACAAGGCATTTAAGAAGTAGAAAGAGAAGAATAATTATGCCTGTCAGGAGTAGGTAAGTGACGATCCAAGACGGGTCAAACAGTGCTTTTAGATTAGACCAGATTTTCTCTAAGAATTGATGTACAGCGTGGGGAGTGTGGGTATAATTTAGAGCAACAATTTGATTGGTTAGTAATATAGAGTAATTAAGAAACTTGATTCCAGTGGCCATGAATATAGTGCGCGAGTTGTAGGTGCGCTTCAGTAATATTCTGTACTTTATAGGGGGTGAGACAAGGTGACCTAAAGCAAGGGTCACAGGCTAGCAGAGCCATGTCTTTGGTAATTGCCAGCTCTTCACTTAAGAGATCAATCTGTTGTTGTAACACATTAATTGCCTGATGAAGATGCTGATTGATAAGGGACTGAGTATGAAAGGTAGAGGTTTTGGAAACGACCTCGTTGAGTGTGTCCACAGTAGTGGAGGATTGGGTGATAGCCACTGCAGCAGCGGCTGCACCTAATGCAAGGATGATGGCTGAGATGAGAGTGACAGTGACCCCAAAATCCTGTTTTAAGTGGGGGGGGGGCATGTGACAAGGCTGTCCGCTCGATAAGGGTAACAGCATGGAAGTGGGTTGCATTGGTGACTGGAACCCAAAGGGCCACAGGTTCATGCATAAAGAGAACTATGTAAGCGGGATGGTTTCAGCAGGCCGCCAGTACACAAGTAGTGTTGGTATTGGAGCAATTGCGTTGTCCCCGAGGGTCGGAGGTAACATTGGCTAGCAGTAACGCAAACGGGCTGCACGCAAATGGGGGTAGGGGTCCAGGATACCGTGTGATCAACGGATGTAAGGATTTTGTTTTTGGCACAAGTAGAGGGATTGGTGTTAGTGTAAGTGCCGTTGGAAAGCTGAAGGCCCTGCTGTGCCAGTAATGGCCTCATGTCCATGCAGGCGTGCAGGCCACAGAGGTCCCAGTTACCGAGTATTGATTCGCAGTTGGTATGGGAGATCTTAATGCCGCAGGGATAAGTGGTGGCCAGCTGTCTCCAAGATACTAGGGGGTGATCAGAGGGGGAGCGGCTGAAATGGCAGAAGGGAGGGATGGCATGGTTGGGCTTAGAGAGGCATCTCTGCCACGGTATGGGGAACACAAGGAAAAAGGATACTAGGGAGTGTGTGCGTGGACAGTTGGGGAGTGGTGGGCGCAGCATAGCAGGGCAAAATGGGGGCAGAGGGGTGGCGGCCCCCTCTGCCTCCCCTGTTATGATTGCCCCAGTGCAGCGAGGACCGAGGCTACATCGGTGTTGTTGAAGGTAGGGGAAAGGCCTTTGAGTTTAAGCACGTAACCCGAGGAGGCAGTGCTGGCATAATCTTGGACGGTCAGGTTGAGCAGCCCAATGCATGAGGATGTGTTGTTAGTAGTGAAGCATAGAGAGTTATTTAGGGGCCAGGAGCCATTGAGTGATTCCCAGGAAGTAACTGGGTCCATGGTGGGGAGGCCAAGCATAGAATTAGCTGAATAGAGGGTGGGGTAGGCTGGGGAATGAAGCAATAAGGGCAAGAGTATAGGCTGGGAGGGGACCAAGGCCCAGAGATCATGGGCTGTAGCAGGGGTGGGGAAGAACAAACCAATTATCCAGGTAGTGGCGAGGTCTCTGGGGCCTGGGGGTCCTGTTGGTCAGTTCCTGGTCTCACATCTCTCGCTGGAATGCATACTGGCTTTGTTTCTGTCTGAAGAAACACACAAGCATAGCTTCGCCCTCTTGTTAACAAGTGGGAGGGTGGTTGCCATTGACATGTTATGGGGTCCTTCCATCTCACTAGTGGCAAGGGTGTAGGCCTAGGTATGGTAGCCCAGTGTTTGTAGCCCGGGCTCAATGCATTTTCATTGAAGGACAGGAAATTAATGCTGAATAGAGTTTCAATTAGAGTCAAGTGTGGGTCCGTTTTAGACTCGAGGTAGCAAATTTTTGTAATGTTTCTTTGAGGGTCCTATTGGCCAGCTCCGCAATGGCCTGTCCCTGTGGGTTATAAGGGATGCCGAGGGAGTGGCTAATTTTCCATGTTGACAGGAATGATTGGAATTGTAGAGAGGTGTAAGCTGGCCCATTATCAGTTTTTAGGGTCCATGGCCCTCCCATTACCAGCATTGCTGATTTGATTGCCTTAATGGCAT